CCAACGGTCTGAGGGACAGTGAACTGGCCCCCTGTTTTAAAAGTTTGAGGACCTCTGTAAGTTTCAGCTACTAGAAAGGCTGAGGCGGAAGGATCGCCTAAGCCCAGCAGGTCAGGGCTGCAGTGGCCGTGAGCATGCCACTGCACTCCAGTCTGGGCGACAAGAGTAAGACTCCAACTCAAAAAAAAAAAAAAAGTATACATTTTTTTTTTGCACCCTCTGTATATAGGTCAGGATACCTATATCCTCAAATTAAAAAGAAAAAAAAGAAGGTTAGAAAGAAAAGGAGGAACCAGCAAAGGTGACTGAGGAGTGATCAGTAGAGTGGTAGGAAAACAAGCAGAGGGTACTACGCTGGAAGCTAAGAGAAGAAGATGTTTTCAGAGGAGGGAGTGATCAGTGGTGTCAGAAGCTATAGGTAGATCAAAAAGAAGAAGAGTAACAGCTGTCCATTAGATTTGACTGCTGGTAAAGGCAATTTTGGCAAAGTGACAGGTGCATAGGAACTTGAGACATTAGAGGGGTTAAAGCAAGAATAGTAGAAGAACTGGAGTAGCAGTTCTTCTTTTGAAGAGTTTTATTATACAACGAAGCAGAGAAATAGGGCTATAGCTAGTAAAGGGTATTAGGAAAAGCGACAACTAGAGACTTTTGACCTTAAATGTTATTGTGGTTACAGATATGTAACAAAATGTGCCATTTTAACAAATTTAAGTATGCTATTCAATGGCATTAATTACATTTACAGTGTTGTACAACCATTACCACTAAAAAAAGTTTTTTTTTTTAATTTGTATTGTAAAGATATGGGATACAATTCTTGATCATGCAGGTACCCCTATTAATGAGGTATGCCTCTCCCTCCCCTAGCAGTTTCCCTCAACTGCCAATCCCACCCCCTCCCCCACCAACAGTTTCCCATTACTGCCAATCGCTTTCTTATAGCATTATAATTGTTCAAGGTCCTCTTATGAGTGAGAACATATGAAACTCTGTTCTTTGTTTCTGTGATAAATCACTGAGTATGATCGACTCCAGAGCCATCCAGGTTGCTGCAAAGTTCATATATTTGTCGTTCTTTATGGCTGCATAATATTCCATTGTGTATATGTACCACATTTTTTTTTTTATCCCGTCCAACTTCGATGGGCGACACGGTTGGTTCCATGTTTTTGCTATTGTGAATAGAGCTGCAATAAACATTCGTGTGCAGGTACCTTCTTTGTAGAATAATTTGAGTTCCTCCAGGTATATTCCCAATAGGGGAATTGCTGAGTCATATGGAAGGTCAATTTCTAGTTCTTTCAGAGATCTCCAGACTGTTTTCCAGAGAGGTTGTACAAGTTTGTATTCCCACCAGCAGTGTAGAAGCGTTCCTTTTTCTCCACATCCTCGCCATCATCTGTTGTTGTTTTATTAATGATAGCCATTTTTACAGGGTAGGTGGTATCTCAGTGTGTTTTTTTTTGAGTTGGAGTCTCACTCTGTCGCCCAGACTGGAGTGCAATGGCCGCTCATAGCCACCGCAGCCTCGACCTGCTGGGCTTCGGTGATCCTTCCGCCTCAGCCTTCCAAGTAGCCGGAATTACAGGCACGCACTACCACGCCCAGCTGATTTTTTGATTTATTGTAGAGATGAGGTCTCGCTGCCCAGGCGGGTCTCGAACCCGCGGGCTCAGGCAATTCACTCACCTCAGCCTCCCAAAGGCGCGGGATTACAGGCTGAGCCACCGAGCCCGGCTCAGTGTGGTTTTGATTTGCATTTCTCTGATGCTGAGTGAGGCTGAGCACTTTTTTATGTAACAAAATGTGCCATTTTAACAAATTTAAGTATGCTATTCAATGGCATTAATTACATTTACAGTGTTGTACAACCATTACCACTAAAAATTTTTTTAATAGACTATTTTTTCAAGTAGTTTTAGGATCACAGCAAAATTGAGCAGAACATACTTCCCATATACCACCTGCAGCTATACATGCATGGCTTCCCCCTTTACCAATGTCAGCCAGCAGAGTGATGCATTTGTTACAACTGATGGGCCTACATTGGCACATTATTATCACCCAGAGTTTACATTAGGGTTCACTCTTGATGTTGTACCATTCCATGGCATAATGTCATGTATCCACCATTATAGTGCCATACAAAATAGTTTCGCTGCTCTGAAAGTCTCTGTTCTCCACCTGTTCTTCCCTCCCTCCCCACAACCTCTCCCTTGACAACAACTAATCTTTTTTACTGTGTTCATAATTTTGCCTTTTCCAGAATGTCATATTTGGAATCATACAGTATATAGGCTTTTCAGAGTGACTTCTTTCACTTAGTAGTATGCATTTAAGTTCCCGCCATGTCTTTTCATGGCTTGAAAGTGCTTTTCTTTTTAGCTCTGAATAGTATTCCATTGTCTGAATGTACCAAGTTTGTTTATCTGTTCACTTACTGAAGGACATCTTGGTTGCTTCTGAGTTTCAGACTGCTATAACAAGTTACTATAGACTAGGTGGCTTAAGCAAAAAGCATTTATTTCTCATAGTTCTGGAAGCTGGAAGTTCAGGATCAGGGTTCCAGCTAGTACAGTTCTGGTGAGGGCCCTCTTCTAGGTTGCAGACAGCCGACTTCTTGTATCCTCACATGGCAGAAGAGGAAAAGCTAGCTCTCTGGCCTCTTTGTAAAAGGACACTAAACTCATTCCTGAATGCTCCACCCTTATGATCCAACTACTCCCAAAGGCCCATCTCCAGAAACCATCATATTGGGGATTAGTTTTTAACATACGAATTTTGAGGGGGCACGAACTTTCAGTCCATAACAGTGATTATGAATAAAGCTGCTGTAAGCATCCATGTACAGGTTTTACATTTTCAACTCCTTTGGGTAAATGCCAAGGAGTATGATTGCTGGATTGCATGGCAGGAGTACATCCAGTTTTGCCACAAGCTGCCAAGTTATCTTCCAATACGGCTGGCGACTTTGCATTCCCATCAGCGATGAATGAGAGTTCTTCTTGTTCCACATCCATATATCTTCTATGGTGAGGTATTTGTTAAGGTATTGGGCCATTTTTTAATCAGGTTATTAGTTTTCTTGTTGTTAGGTTTTAAGAGATCTTTGTATATTTTAGATAATGGTTCTTTATCCGTTGTGTGTTTTGCAAGTATTCCTTCCCAGTCTGTGACTTGTCTTTCTACTCTTGACAATGTCTTGCACAGAGCAGAAGTGTTTTATTTAATGAAGTCCATTTTATCAATTCTGTTAGTCATGGATCATGCTTTTGGTGTTATATCTAAAATGTCATTGTCAAACCCAAGGTCAGCTAGATTTCCTCCTATGTTATCTTCTAAGAGTTTTATTCTTTACTTTTACATTTAAGTCTGGGACCCATTTCAAGTTAAATTTTGTGAAGAGTGTAAGGTCTGTGTCTAGATTTTGCATGAGGATGTGCAATTGTTCCAGCACCATTTGTTAGAAGATTATCTTTTTTTCCATCATATTGCCTTTGCTCCTTTGTCAGAGATTTATAGCTGACTGTATGTAACATGGGTCTATTTCTGAATTCTTTATTCTCTTTCACTGACCCCTTTGTCTTTTCTTTCACCATACCACACTGTTTTGATTACTGTAGCTTTATAGTTAGTCTTGAAGTCAGGTATTGTCAATTCTCCAAATTTGTTCTCCTTCAATATTATGTCTTTCTTTTTCTTTTTTTTGAGTTGGAGTCTCACTCTGTCACCCAGGCTAGAGGGCAGTGTCACACTCACAGCCACTGCAACCTCAACCTGCTGGGCTCAGGTGATCCTTCTGCTTCAGCCTTCCAAGTAGCTGGAACCACAGGCATGTGCCATCATGC